ATATTCGTGACCCTTGGTGCCTCCTTTGGCCGTCCTGATGGTCTGCTCCGTTGTTGTTGTTCCGTCGTTGCTTTCGTTGCCGGGGGTTCCTCTTTGGTGTTCTGTCGTCGAGCCTTTTACCTCTTTGACTTGGTCTGGTCTGGACTTCGGCTGCCCACTGAAAGGCCTCCACTAAGTTGCCGGGGATACCGCGCCTACGCGCTGTACCGCCGGGCTCGGGAGTTGGCGGGCTGTAGCCTCCGCTACACCAGGAGAACGCCGTGCTTTGCGCGCCAGCGAGTCTGGTTTGAGAGTTAGCTACTGACTGTCGCCTCTGCAACACCAGGGAGACACGCCGTGCATGCGCACCGGCGGACCTGGTTCGGCTCCGCTACGCCAGAAAAACGCCGTGCTTTTCGCACCGGCGAGTCCGGTTCGGGAGATGGCTACTGATTGTCGCCTCCGCAACGCCAGGAAGACACGCCGTGCATGCGCACCAGCGGCCCCGGTTCAGAGTTTGCTGCCTACAGCCGGCTCCTCTACGCCAGGAAAACGCCGTGCTTTTCGCACCGGCGGGCCTGGATTGGGAGTCGCCGAAGTCTTGTCAGTCCCGACGGGGTCAAAAGTCGCCTGTCCAGGACCGTATGTCACGCCTCCCTTTGGCCGGGTGACCACCGCGCGTACGCGTCAATGGGCCCGGATCAAGAGCTGCTCATTGGGTGATCGGCGCTTCCCTGATCGCGTTCCTAAGTGGGCGCGAGCTCTCGAGTCGGCTTATCCGTGCCTTGCAGGACCACGGCTGTTGGTTGCGAGTCAGGAATCCGTGTGGCGTGCGCCAGACTAATTCTTTTCTCACTTCCTTGCAAGGCTACCTGCTTTGACCGGGAATGGCCCAACTCGACTCTGATACCCTATAGCTGTCGAGGAAACCGACCGACACCGATCCTTTCTCGTTCTGTCCTTAGCGTCTTTTGGAGCAAACCGGGCCTGTCCTTCCGTTGCAGAACCACGCCTGTTGGTTGTGAGTCAGGAGTCAGTGTGGCGTGCACCAGACTTATCCTTCCCTCACTTCCTTGCAAGGCTACCTGCCGGGGCCAGGAACCGGTGCAACTCGTCTCCTGTCGCCTAGGTCTTTTCAAGGAACTGTCCCAGTACAGATCCTTTCTCGTCTTGTTCGTTCTCCTTGCGTTTGGCTGTTGGACTCTCCAAAGGCGGTCCTTCAACTCCAACCAACCGAATCCTTTTAGAAACGCTCTAACACTTAAATTGCGGACTCTCCACAGGCGGTCCTCCAACTCAACGCTACAAGCTTCCTAAAAAGACTCGTCCCGATCCGCTCCAATAAGCCTCCTTTTATACTGACTGGAGCGCCCGTTTATTTTTCTGGATTCTGTTCCACAGATCACGCCCCTTTCCCGTTGGCGGGCTGCCGTTACTCCTGCTTCCAATATCACGCCACTTTCCCGCTGGCCGGCGGCCGTTACTCCAGCTTCCAATCTCACGCCGCTTTCCCGCTGGCAGGTGGCCGTCCGTGCGGCCGTTGCCCTTTCCTTTCGGCCGCTGACCCCTGCTGTTGCTATGCGATGCGCCGCTGCCCTCCTTTGCCTCCCCCGTTGCTCCTTGCTCTTTTGCTGCTACTAGTCTTGTCGCACATTCTGAACACGGCTGCGCGGTGTGCTCATGTCCTCACCGTTGCCTCGGGAACCGTTACGTTCCACGTTGACTCCGTCTTTCCACTCGATGATGGAGCTCTGCCCCTCACCGCCCTCACTGCCTTTCCATTCGTCCACTGGTGCTCCGGGAACCGTTACGTTCCACGTTGATTCCGTCTTCCCACTGGGTGATGAAACCTTGCCTTTCCATTCGTCTGCTGCTGCTCCGGGAACCGTTATGTTCCACGTTGATTCCGTCTTTGCCACTCGATGATGGAACCCTGCCCCTCCCCGCTCGTATTGGTCCTTGGCCTATCTGCTGCGGCCACCTAATGATTGGCCGGTGCTGCTCGCGCCCTGTTGGTAAAACACTTTCCGGTTGATTGAATAGTGTAAAATACTTTAAAGGCGAACAGCGGGCTTTTTTATTTTATTTTGTTTTTCCCAGTTTTGCGTGCACCTTGCTGGTAGTTGGTGGTGGAAGTTGCCAACCGCTCCATGAGAGTTGCTGCCCACTCTTCGAGTGGAAGCAGGCCTGCTTCCTTATTGCCCCCGTTGACGATGCCAACATTCAGCGGTGGCTATGCCAAGTGGCCAGATTTCTGCGCCTTGTTTAGGACGATGATTGACAGCTATCCTCACTTGATCAAGATGGAAAAGCTCAGATGGATCATTTTATGTCTGCGGGAGTCAGCTTTGGAGACTGTAAGAGCGCTGGAGATTACTGATGCTATCTATGATGTTGCCTGTTATCTTACACAACCGTTTAAGCAATCGACAGTTAATATTTCAGGCGCACATCAACAAGATCCTGCAGTTTAGGGTAGTCGAGCCGGGATTTTTTTGGGGTTATCCGGCCGGTTCAATGGTCATATGCGGGCCTTATTACTTCCGGGACGGCGGACAAAATTCTAGGATACCTCCTCATCCAGATCATCTTACAAAAGCTGGACCCTGCCACAAAGACCAAGTAGGAAGATCTCTCACAGGAAGCAGTGCCAATTTGGGAATCTATGGCTATGGGTTATTGGAAAAAAGGTGGCGTACCCTTGAGCCTGCGGAATTGGTCTTAGCATTTGCCAGCGAATCAGCCAACGTTCATGCTTGCTCCTTAATGCTCCGCCACCTCCTGTGCGGAGCACATGCTGTTCCTTCTTGCCCAAGGTTCCTCGCCTTGCCAGTTAATGAACGATACGTTTAAATCCGGCGTTTTGACCTCCGGATTTGCTTCAAGTCTGAGCACTCAGCCCGCGGATGCTCATCCTCCCGCTACCCAACGTGTAATCGCAGGCTTCATGCCCTGTCGCTTGCGAGCAATTACCCAGCACTTCTTCTTTCACTGCTTTCGGCTCGAGTCTTGCCAATGAAGAGGTAGCTGCGACCTCTCAGGCTCAGCTGACCTCTCTAACCAGAGGAGCTCGACTGCGATGTCCACTTCGTTCATCTTGAGTCAAGTGCATATTCGGTTCGTCTTCCAATTAAGCATAGCGTGGAGCTGTTGGGAGAACTTCTCGGAACTTCTATATTGCAGATTATGTACTGCAGATCTCCTCCAGCCTACAGTCCCTGATTGCAAGCTATTAATTATCCAACTTCGCCGGAATTATAATACTTCTATTTTTTTTATGTTCAACATTACAACTAAGCAATTAACTTAATACTAAATGATTTAAGTAAGTGAACTAATAACCAAGGAAGGAAATTCCTACAGCAATGGCATTATTAAGTAGCTTCTTGTTTTTGGTTTCTGGGCATTTTGGGATAGAAACACTTACATGCAGTCCTTCCGTGCAGAAAGGTCTTCCATTGCTTATGAATTTGGTTACATTAGTGAGGGAATTATGTTTTATTAAATATTTTTATTATAGCAAACCGATATTGAAATACCGCCTAATCCATCCAACCGCTTCAAATAACTTACAATACGATATTACTGTGCTTTTTGTTGTTACCTCTCATATGCTACATTTAACAACTACCACACTATTCCCACTTTTCACCAGTCGTCTTGGAACGAGTCGGTCAATTCCCAAACTTGTCGAGTCGTCACGATCCAGTATTTTTCTCCTTTGGAAATTCGTAAGATTTTTCAAAAATATTTTATTATATGGCCATGACAACCCTTTTATCGGGTCTCGGCCTGAAGCGCAATGTGCCTCCACGCGTCTCTGTCCTGAGCGCGCATTTGCCAGTTGGTAACCCCAAGTGTGGACAGGGTTTCCATCACCTGGTCTTGCCAACGCGTTCGGGGTCGTCCTCTTCTTCGTGTCCCAATAATCACCGCACCAAACACCTTACGAGCCGGAGTGTCTTCATTCATACGGGCAACGTCTTTGAGATTTCACTCGACTGGCTACGTCAACATCACCGTAAAGCTCATACAGCTCGTGGTTGTATCGGATGCGATAAACATCGTCTACGCAGACTGGACCAAAGATTTTTCGAAGAATTTTCCTCTCGAACACTCCAAGAGCAGCTGCATCTGTCTGCGTCACTGTCCAGCACTCCGCATCATATAGGAGTACTGGAAGAATGAGCGTCTTGTAGAGTGTGGTTTTTGTGCGTCGAGAGAGAGCTCTACTATTGAACTGCCTACTGAGCCCAAAGTAACACCTGTTGGTAAGTGTTATTCTCCGCTTAATCTCCAGACTGACATCATTTGTGCTTGTTATAGCAGTGCCTAGGTAGATAAACTCCTTGACGGACCCAAAGCTATAGTTTTCTGCAGTCAGCTGAGAATCAAGACGCCGCAATTCACTGCTAGAACACACCATAAACTTTGTTTTCTCTATATTCACTGCTAGTCCTACTTTTGCAGATTCCTTTTCAATAGCCGCGAAGGCTCCTGTAAAATCACGCTTGGTGCGTGATATCAATATCATCAGCGTAACCAAGGAGCTGGACACATCTGTTGGTTAATATCGTGCCCGTCCGATGTACACCAGCCTTTCTTATAATACTCTCCATTAAAATATTGAAGAGTATACAAGACAGCGAGTCACCTTGTCTGAGGCCACACTTGGTAGTAAAGGTTTCGGATTGGCCACTTCCTACCTTGACAGAGCTGATGGTGTTGCTCAATGTCATTTTGCAAAGTCTAGTCAGCTTTGCTGGTATACCAAGCTGGTTTTCGTAAGACTTCTCCAGGATTTGGCGCAAGGTGAAAATCTGGTCAACAGTGGACTTGCCAGGCCTGAACCCGCACTGATAAGGTCCAATCAATGCTTCAGCATGGGGTTTCAGTCTTTCACACAATACGCTCGTTAGGACCTTGTATGCAACTGTAAGAAGACTAATTCCGCGGTAGTTGGTGCGCACCGTGGCATCACCCTTCTTCAGGATGGGACAGATCATGCTGAGGTTCCAATCTTAGGGTATGCTCTCCGTGAGCCATATCTTACTGATTAGTTGGTGCATGCTCCCTACCAACATATCACCGGCTGCCTTAAACAATTCTGCCGGCAGGCCGTCAGCACCTGCAGACTTGTGGTTTTTAAGCCGTTGGATTGCATCCTTGACTTCGATATGACTTGGGATTGGCACTTCAATATCCGTGCCATAGATTGGGGTTCGTGGATCATAGTCTTCAGAGTCTGTGCTTGAGCCAGATAACAGACTCCAGAAGTGATCGCTCCATAACCTCAGCACGACCTCTGCTTCTGTGACAAGATTTCCATCATCGTCCCTGCACGCCATTGCACCAGTCTTAAATCCTTGGGTCAGACGCTTGACCCTCTGGTAGAAGTTACGTGCTTCATTTCTGCGCCTGCTGCTCTCTGTGCTCTCACACTCTCGCCTTTCCTGCTCTTTCTTCTTGCGTCTGAAAAGGCGTTTTTCGTCTCTTCTTCTCGACCTGTATACATCCACAATAGCTCGTGTCGTCCCAGCCTGCAGTGTTCTTCTGTAGGCGGCGTCCTTTGCAGCTGTTGCGTCATGACACTCCTGATCGTACCATGGATTCCTTGTTAGAGGACGCTGGAATCCAAGCACTTCTTCTGCCGAAGCTCGCAGGGAGTGAGATATGAGCGCCCACATATCGCTTATGTCTTCAGGTATTGAAGGTGCTCGGCTTAATAGCCCCGAGACGTGAGTGGAGAATGCATTCTTTGCCTGTTGTGATTGCAGCTTTCCGATGTCCAGTCTTCTTAACGCACTTCGACGTGCAATCTTCGCCACACATAGCCGTGTGCGAATCTTAGCTGCAACAAGATAATGGTCGGAGTCGATGTTGGGACCCCGACAGCATCGCACGATTATAACGTCGAGTATATTAGATGCGTGCCTTGCATCGATCACAACATGATCGATCTGATTTCTGGTCAGTCGATCGGGAGAGAGCCAAGATGCTTTATGTATGTCCAAATGACGGAATCCAGTACTACGAACCACCATATTATGCGCAGCTGCATAGCCTATTAATCTGAGACCATTGCTCGAGGTGGTCTCATGTAGACTAAATCGCCCGACGGTAGCACCAAAGATGTCTTCTCGCCCTACCTTGGCATTAAAATCCCCGAGGAGAATTTTAATGTCATGGGAAGGACAGCGGCCATAAGCTCGGTCGAGATCCGCATAGAAAGCGTCCTTGGTGGCATCATCCTTTTCCTCCGTTGGGGCATGTGCGCATATCAGGCTGATGTTAAAGAATTTGGCAGTAATTCGGATCGTTGCAATTCTCTCGTTTGTTGGCCGAAATGGAGAGACTCGGCGCCGCATCCTGGCACCTACAACGAAACCACAACCAAATTCATGCCGTTCTGGATGACAGCTGTAGTAAATGTCACAGTTCTTCTTCTTTATGCAGCCTTTTCCTACCCATCGCATTTCCTGGATAGCAGTGATGTCAGCCCTATATTTGTTGAGGGTATCTGCTAGTTGTTGAGCAGCACCAGATCTGTACAATGTTCGTACGTTCCAGGTGCATACTCTCAAATCATTGTCCTTTTTACGCTTGCTATGGTCGTCAACGTTAGATCGGTTCCTTTCACCAAGTTGAATGCAAGTTGAATTGAATTAGATTCACCAAGTTGAATGCAATCAGACACTTTGACCTGTATGCTTTCCACCATTCTCCCATAATTTATTACAATACAAAATGTAAAAAAAAGCCCCAAGCTTCTTTCTTCAAAAATACAAAAGTTGGTATTTTTACTAAACACCAAAAACTATTTCCAATCGTTCAGTTATATGGCAGATATAACATATAGTCGGCCGATCGTACGGAAATTTGGTAGGATTAACTGACCAAAAATATATTCTGTACTAAGTTCCAGCTTTCTATCTTCAAAAACACGAAAGTTGGGTCATTTCCGATCGATCAGTTATATGGCAGCTATAGGATATATTCGGTCGATCCTTATGAAATTTGACATGTCGTATTATTTTGCCAAAAATAGCTCTCATGTAAAATGGAAGTCTCTAACTCTAAAAACACTAAAGTACTATAATATTTCCGATCAATCAGTTATATGACAGCTATAGGATATAGTCGACCGATCCCGGTCGGTCCGGTCGATCATGAATATATATAATATAAAAAAATATAATGAAGCATAAATGAAGCAAGCGGTCTTTGAAACATGTATGTATGTAGTGGGCTTTCACTACAGTTACAAGATGATGCACAGTTATGTATATTATGGCATTAAATATTATGCCTAAATGAGCCTTAAAGGGTATACGTTCTTACCTTTTTGTATTTATGTATGTCTTTTATTTAAATAGTGTTGACACCTTAAAAGCAATCTCTTATTATGAGTACTCATTTGGCTAATTAAATATTTGGGGCTAAATTAAATGTGTGTTTTTGCTTTGTTTTATTGAAACGAAAATTGGGAATTGATTTTTTAATCTATTTCAGGCTGTGATCCCTACCACTGCCGGTGGCTCCAGAGCTCCGGCAGATCCTTGATGTTCTCGGGGCTTCGTTGCTATAAAACCATCAGTACGGGCGAGCTATAAACTGCAGAGTTAATGCAGAGTAAACTGCATGGAACTAGGCCGCAAAAATCTGCATTTTTGGGTAAAAAGTTGAATGCGAATCAAGCAGGATAAAGTGACTCTTAGTCAGACTGTATGAAAAAATTCGGCGCACCGTTTTGAACTACCTCTGATTTTTACTGTTGTATCTCCATCTTCTTAATATATATTTTCACTTCTTTTCACTACATTTACAAGATGATGCACAGTTATGTTTACTGTGGCATTAAATATTATGCCTAAATGAGACTTAAAGGGTATAAGTTCTTACCTTTTTGTATTTATGTATATCTTTTATTTAAATAGTGTTGACACCTTAAAAGCAATCTCTTATTATGAGTACTCATTTGGCTAATTAAATATTTGGGGCTAATTTAAATGTGTTTTTGCCTTGTTTTATTCAATTCAATTAAATTCAATTCAATTCAATAATTTTGCTTTATTTTCCAATATCAATTTCAATTTTGCTTAAAGCTAACAAATTTTTTTTTTTTTTTACTTAGAGTTTAGACTTATTAACTATCTTTACAACTATAATATTCTATTTTTTTTTTATTTAATATTTATTTGTTCATTTTTATTTACATTTAATAACCCAAAAAATGGTAAAACTTGGCTCAAAGGGCTTAGAGAAACTAAGATAAAACTAAGACTGGTATTTCGTGGTTAGTAGCGTAATACTAGGAAGGGAAGGACCTGTCAGCACGCGGATGTGCAATATAAGATTTGCGAATATTGAATTTATTTGTTGAATGAGAGATGAGTGCATCGATCATTTTAATATCTGCTTTTAAATGCAGACGGTTGGTCGCATAGAAAAATGTTAAATTATAAATCATTTTTAAGATTTTATTTTGAGCAAGTTGTAATTTATTTATATGGGTCTTGGCACTACAGCCCCAGATTTCAGATCCATAAAGCATTATGGGTAAAAATATTTGTTTGTATATTGTCAGCTTATTGTGAATTGACAGATTTGATCTGCGATTTATAAAAGGGTACAATATTCGGATGGTCCTATTTATTTTGTCAATGGTATGACTTATGTGACCATTGAAAATAAGTTTTTTGTCAAAATTAATGCCAAGACACTTTATGGAGTTTACCCATTTAATGCCAGTGTTATTTAGTTTAAGTTCACTATTTTGCAGAAAACACAGTTTCCGTTTTTTGGTGAAGAAAATTGATTTCGTTTTGGAGGCATTTATTTTAATTTTCCACTTTTAAAAATAAGAAGATATTGCATCTAAGGACATTTGGAGCTCGTTTTCTATCGAATTATAAGTAGTGCCAGAGCTAAACAGGGCTGTATCGTAGGCAAATATAAGTCTATAAGTATATAAGTGTATGACATCTCTGAAATAGGGGGATGTCATAGGTGTAAATGTTATAAAGAACAGGTCCGAGCACAGAGCCCTCTGGGACACCTGCTTTGATAAGTTTTTAATTCAATTGGTACCATCAAGACTGACGTAAAAGTATCTATCTGAGAGAAAACTTAGGATGATCTTTGTTAAATATATTGGGCTGTTACAAGTGATAAGCTTATGGATTGGTGCCAAACAGTATCAAAAGCAGCTTCTTTGTCAAGCGTTACCATGCCAACTGACTCTTTCCGTGCAAAACTTTCCTTTATATAGTTAGTGATTTGATCAAGTGGGTGAATACAGTTCGAAAAGCACGAAAGCCATATTGGACTGGGGGTAAAATGTTATTATCTTCCACATGCAGATTGAGCCTAGATTTAATTAATCTTTCAAACATTTTTGAGAAACCACATAGCAAACTTATCGGACGGTAATTATTTGGACAATCCGGGGGCTTCCCTGGCTTTGGAATTGTTAAATTCGCTGAAAGTGTTTTGGACTTCAGTTGAGGTATTATAGTCTGAGAAACTGTCAGCAATGTGATGTTTTAATTCAAAAACTTCTGCTAAGATATCTGCTTTTTCTTCTCTTGTGGAAAACACTATATTATTGTATAAGAAACTTGGGATAAACTGTTTTTTGTTCTTAATAATTTTAGTTAGCTTCCAAAATGGTCTGGAATTCTTGTCCAATTAAGACAGTCTAAGATTCCATTTTTCATTGTAATGCTCAAATAGTTTCTGGCGAATCATGTGGTTCAAATAGTTTACCCTAGCCTAAAAGATGGGTTGTCTGGTTCTAATCCATTTTATTTGATTTGTGTTTCTATTAGCCATAGTTAGCCATAGTTTCACATGATCTGCTTTTATTTTTGTAAGCTTACGGTAGACAATTTGAAATTATTGTTATAGCTATAAATATGTGTGTATATATTATTTATCTCCTTTCTATACTCTTGCTTTCGAGAAGTCAACAATTATACAGATAAGCGCAGCTTGAATATTAGGGAAACACAATAAATTAAAGGTGGACTTCAGCAAAACGTTAAAGACTATCACATAGATAAACGGTATTCGTACGAGCTAAAGCTATTTACAGATAATATACTTGTAGGAATATAATAAATAAATTGTACGTACAATCGCAATTTAATATCGGACGCAATATGCACAAAATGAGAAACACAAGTGGAGGCGGAGAAGGAATTGTGCATGAGTTGTCCCTACAGATTAAGGAACGATTCGAAACGAACTCGTGAACAGCCAAGTTTTAGATTGCATTGCAATGAGCAACATTCAAAGTGTGTCGAAGCGCGATTTTCACAAAAAAGCGTTCATTCAATCGCTGTTGCTTATCAGCGACTCCTGCTGTTCATCGTCGTTGACTCTAACAATGCTCGGCTTATGGCAACCGCAGACTTTTCTATATACAATTTTGAACAGCTTCATTAGAGGGTCGGAATCGTCATTTCGCATAAGAAGCGAAACAAGCACAAGAGCTACGAAGATCGGTATGGAACCCATATAGAACATGGGTGAATAGGGCTTATTCTTAAGCAGGACGTCGAACATGATGGCTAGCGGAATTTGCAATGACATGGCCAGCGTTCCTATTAGCGAAGAGGTGAGAAAGCCCCCACATAGCCACAGAGCCTCGGCCAGAACGGTGCCAATCAAGCCGTTTAGAAAAAGCAGGGCAAACTGTCCTTGGCTGGGCAATTCAAAGGTCTCAATCTTCGTAAAGTGCAGAATGAAAAAGATAGGCCACAGTAGCAAAAGATTCCAGAGACCGACAAAGCCAAAAAACAAAGGTACATATATCGACCTTTTCCTCGGTATCGCTTTTTCGTTTAACGAAAACAAGATAGGCGGCATAAAAGAAAGCACTAAAGAGCGCCAAGAGAACGCCTCTCGTCATCTTTGTGTCGTGTAGATCGTTTAAGGTGATGGCCACCACTCCGCCAATATTCATGGCCACGGCAATCAGCTTGGTGATGGTCAGCTTGTCGCCGGTTGCCGAGGGAAATACAGCTGCCAGGCAGATAATAAAAAATGACGTCGAGCTCACCAGCGTTATCATGGCAGTCTCGTCCATTTCCATTTCAACGTTAGATCGGTTCCTTTCACCAAGTTGAATGCAAGTTGAATTGAATTAGATTCACCAAGTTGAATGCAATCAGACACTTTGACCTGTATGCTTTCCACCATTCTCCCATAATTTATTACAATACAAAATGTAAAAAAAAGCCCCAAGCTTCTTTCTTCAAAAATACAAAAGTTGGTATTTTTACTAAACACCAAAAACTATTTCCAATCGTTCAGTTATATGGCAGATATAACATATAGTCGGCCGATCGTACGGAAATTTGGTAGGATTAACTGACCAAAAATATATTCTGTACTAAGTTCCAGCTTTCTATCTTCAAAAACACGAAAGTTGGGTCATTTCCGATCGATCAGTTATATGGCAGCTATAGGATATATTCGGTCGATCCTTATGAAATTTGACATGTCGTATTAATTTGCCAAAAATAGCTCTCATGTAAAATGGAAGTCTCTAACTCTAAAAACACTAAAGTACTATAATATTTCCGATCAATCAGTTATATGACAGCTATAGGATATAGTCGACCGATCCCGGTCGGTCCGGTCGATCATGAATATATATAATATAAAAAAATATAATGAAGCATAAATGAAGCAAGCGGTCTTTGAAACATGTATGTATGTAGTGGGCTTTCACTACAGTTACAAGATGATGCACAGTTATGTATATTATGGCATTAAATATTATGCCTAAATGAGCCTTAAAGGGTATACGTTCTTACCTTTTTGTATTTATGTATGTCTTTTATTTAAATAGTGTTGACACCTTAAAAGCAATCTCTTATTATGAGTACTCATTTGGCTAATTAAATATTTGGGGCTAAATTAAATGTGTGTTTTTGCTTTGTTTTATTGAAACGAAAATTGGGAATTGATTTTTTAATCTATTTCAGGCTGTGATCCCTACCACTGCCGGTGGCTCCAGAGCTCCGGCAGATCCTTGATGTTCTCGGGGCTTCGTTGCTATAAAACCATCAGTACGGGCGAGCTATAAACTGCAGAGTTAATGCAGAGTAAACTGCATGGAACTAGGCCGCAAAAATCTGCATTTTTGGGTAAAAAGTTGAATGCGAATCAAGCAGGATAAAGTGACTCTTAGTCAGACTGTATGAAAAAATTCGGCGCACCGTTTTGAACTACCTCTGATTTTTACTGTTGTATCTCCATCTTCTTAATATATATTTTCACTTCTTTTCACTACATTTACAAGATGATGCACAGTTATGTTTACTGTGGCATTAAATATTATGCCTAAATGAGACTTAAAGGGTATAAGTTCTTACCTTTTTGTATTTATGTATATCTTTTATTTAAATAGTGTTGACACCTTAAAAGCAATCTCTTATTATGAGTACTCATTTGGCTAATTAAATATTTGGGGCTAATTTAAATGTGTTTTTGCCTTGTTTTATTCAATTCAATTAAATTCAATTCAATTCAATTCAATAATTTTGCTTTATTTTCCAATATCAATTTCAATTTTGCTTAAAGCTAACAAATTTTTTTTTTTTTTTTACTTAGAGTTTAGACTTATTAACTATCTTTACAACTATAATATTCTATTTTTTTTTTATTTAATATTTATTTGTTCATTTTTATTTACATTTAATAACCCAAAAAATGGTAAAACTTGGCTCAAAGGGCTTAGAGAAACTAAGATAAAACTAAGACTGGTATTTCGTGGTTAGTAGCGTAATACTAGGAAGGGAAGGACCTGTCAGCACGCGGATGTGCAATATAAGATTTGCGAATATTGAATTTATTTGTTGAATGAGAGATGAGTGCATCGATCATTTTAATATCTGCTTTTAAATGCAGACGGTTGGTCGCATAGAAAAATGTTAAATTATAAATCATTTTTAAGATTTTATTTTGAGCAAGTTGTAATTTATTTATATGGGTCTTGGCACTACAGCCCCAGATTTCAGATCCATAAAGCATTATGGGTAAAAATATTTGTTTGTATATTGTCAGCTTATTGTGAATTGACAGATTTGATCTGCGATTTATAAAAGGGTACAATATTCGGATGGTCCTATTTATTTTGTCAATGGTATGACTTATGTGACCATTGAAAATAAGTTTTTGTCAAAATTAATGCCAAGACACTTTATGGAGTTTACCCATTTAATGCCAGTGTTATTTAGTTTAAGTTCACTATTTTGCAGAAAACACAGTTTCCGTTTTTTGGTGAAGAAAATTGATTTCGTTTTGGAGGCATTTATTTTAATTTTCCACTTTTAAAAATAAGAAGATATTGCATCTAAGGACATTTGGAGCTCGTTTTCTATCGAATTATAAGTAGTGCCAGAGCTAAACAGGGCTGTATCGTAGGCAAATATAAGTCTATAAGTATATAAGTGTATGACATCTCTGAAATAGGGGGATGTCATAGGTGTAAATGTTATAAAGAACAGGTCCGAGCACAGAGCCCTCTGGGACACCTGCTTTGATAAGTTTTTAATTCGAATTGGTACCATCAAGACTGACGTAAAAGTATCTATCTGAGAGAAAACTTAGGATGATCTTTGTTAAATATATTGGGCTGTTACAAGTGATAAGCTTATGGATTGGTGCCAAACAGTATCAAAAGCAGCTTCTTTGTCAAGCGTTACCATGCCAACTGACTCTTTCCGTGCAAAACTTTCCTTTATATAGTTAGTGATTTGATCAAGTGGGTGAATACAGTTCGAAAAGCACGAAAGCCATATTGGACTGGGGGTAAAATGTTATTATATTCCACATGCAGATTGAGCCTAGATTTAATTAATCTTTCAAACATTTTTGAGAAACCACATAGCAAACTTATCGGACGGTACTTATTTGGACAATCCGGGGGCTTCCCTGGCTTTGGAATTGTTAAATTCGCTGAAAGTGTTTTGGACTTCAGTTGAGGTATTATAGTCTGAGAAACTGTCAGCAATGTGATGTTTTAATTCAAAAACTTCTGCTAAGATATCTGCTTTTTCTTCTCTTGTGGAAAACACTATATTATTGTATAAGAAACTTGGGATAAACTGTTTTTTGTTCTTAATAATTTTAGTTAGCTTCCAAAATGGTCTGGAATTCTTGTCCAATTAAGACAGTCTAAGATTCCATTTTTCATTGTAATGCTCAAATAGTTTCTGGCGAATCATGTGGTTCAAATAGTTTACCCTAGCCTAAAAGATGGGTTGTCTGGTTCTAATCCATTTTATTTGATTTGTGTTTCTATTAGCCATAGTTAGCCATAGTTTCACATGATCTGCTTTTATTTTTGTAAGCTTACGGTAGACAATTTGAAATTATTGTTATAGCTATAAATATGTGTGTATATATTATTTATCTCCTTTCTATACTCTTGCTTTCGAGAAGTCAACAATTATACAGATAAGCGCAGCTGGAATATTAGGGAAACACAATAAATTAAAGGTGGACTTCAGCAAAACGTTAAAGACTATCACATAGATAAACGGTATTCGTACGAGCTAAAGCTATTTACAGATAATATACTTGTAGGAATATAATAAATAAATTGTACGTACAATCGCAATTTAATATCGGACGCAATATGCACAAAATGAGAAACACAAGTGGAGGCGGAGAAGGAATTGTGCATGAGTTGTCCCTACAGATTAAAGAACGATTCGAAACGAACTCGTGAACAGCCAAGTTTTAGATTGCATTGCAATGAGCAACATTCAAAGTGTGTCGAAGCGCGATTTTCACAAAAAGCGTTCATTCAATCGCTGTTGCTTATCAGCGACTCCTGCTGTTCATCGTCGTTGACTCTAACAATGCTCGGCTTATGGCAACCGCAGACTTTTCTATATACAATTTTGAACAGCTTCATTAGAGGGTCGGAATCGTCATTTCGCATAAGAAGCGAAACAAGCACAAGAGCTACGAAGATCGGTATGGAACCCATATAGAACATGGGTGAATAGGGCTTATTCTTAAGCAGGACGTCGAACATGATGGCTAGCGGAATTTGCAATGACATGGCCAGCGTTCCTATTAGCGAAGAGGTGAGAAAGCCCCCACATAGCCACAGAGCCTCGGCCAGAACGGTGCCAATCAAGCCGTTTAGAAAAAGCAGGGCAAACTGTCCTTGGCTGGGCAATTCAAAGGTCTCAATCTTCGTAAAGTGCAGAATGAAAAAGATAGGCCACAGTAGCAAAAGATTCCAGAGACCGACAAAGCCAAAAAACAAAGGTACATATATCGACCTTTTCCTCGGTATCGCTTTTTCGTTTAACGAAAACAAGATAGGCGGCATAAAAGAAAGCACTAAAGAGCGCCAAGAGAACGCCTCTCGTCATCTTTGTGTCGTGTAGATCGTTTAAGGTGATGGCCACCACTCCGCCAATATTCATGGCCACGGCAATCAGCTTGGTGATGGTCAGCTTGTCGCCGGTTGCCGAGGGAAATACAGCTGCCAGGCAGATAATAAAAAATGACGTCGAGCTCACCAGCGTTATCATGGCAGTCTCGTCCATTTCCAAAGCCAACTGGAAAAAGTAGTTGGCAACGAACCAGAGCAGGCAGAATAGGAGCGCTGTCTTTTCTGTCTTGTGGTGGGTCTTTTGCCTTCTTATCCTCAAGCTGGCGGCATAGGAGAGGCGTGCCATTAAAGCATCAGTGGCTTCGTGGGCAGACATCTCGCGGACCTCGGCCATCTTGCTGAAACGCACACTTCGGACACTGGAATCATCACTCTCGGTACCAGATAAAGAGTTGGCGCTGCCGTTAACTGTGGCGCCTAAGTGGGGCGATCTGATGGGCACATAGGTGGGGTCTCCCAAAACAGCTTGATTGGAGTAATAGTTCTCATCGTCTGCATTCTGCTCCATCATAGCATAGTTTCCATTTTGTCGCTCGCAGGATTCCTTCCAGGGAGCCAGGATTCCAATGACTAGCAGATAAATGCTAAACATTGACGTTTTGAAGTATGTACAAAAGAATGGCTTATCAAACTTTGCCTCATTGTACAAAAACTTAGTTAGCTCGCTGGAG